AAGTGACCTCATCCTGCGATCTCAAAAGGTCACTTTGAAGGTCCTGGTTGGGCATGTCCAATTGCATCCACTTGCGGAAGCAATGAGGACCCTGGAAGTCACGTGAAGTGGCCGGTGTTCGAGGCACGGAGGCAAGTCGCAGCATGAAGTGGCCCATCTTCTTCCCCCCCAAGACCGTCCAACAGGTCAGTAGCTGCAACCCATCGGGGTCCTGTTGCCCATCTCGTTGCCTGGTCTTGTTACCCAACCTTTTTCCACCACAAACTCTCACACCTGGTTTTCCGCCAAAGCTGGTCCCCCAAACACGAAGCCAACAATCTCTGTCACCTGGTGCTCCGAGAACTTCGTTCGAGGGTCCTCAAGTAAGGATTGATTCAATGCTACCTTCATCATATGTTTCAAAACATTTAAAAAAAGAATAAACAAGAACAAGCATGCACTTGAGTGACTGCCGCATTTCAACCAACGGACCAACGTCTAATCTCTTCGGCACCAAGGACCAGGAACTGGTCCCGGAAAGCACGCTGCTTCTCTTCGCTCGCTGGGGGCCTGCCAAACCCCATAGCAATGGGTGTAAATGGAGGGCCTTCCGAAGAAACGGGAACTCACTCAGGTACGAGTATATACCCAGTAACGAATTCGTTTCTTTAGGGTCTATTAGGCTTACCCTCCCTGGAATTAACATGGAAGTGGAAAATCTCCTGGCTGTAGAGGATTTCATGGTCTTCCAAGGTGCCATTTTCCACTTCCATGTTAGTTCCAGGGAGTGTATATCAAGAGAGGCTTATTGATCAGCTGTCACGCACTTGGAGCTACTGCGGAATCCTTGGGGTCTTGCTGGCCGTTCTGATCTGATCTTGCATTTTTCGACTCAGGCTTTTACTCCACCTTCCACCTGAAAAGTCTTCGTAAAGAAGTGTTTAAAGCACGTTTTGACCACTTAGGGCCTCATTCGCTCATTGGGAGGGTCCGTGACCAGCAAAAGGCCACCATGTAGGTTTCCAAGCTGCTTGGCCAATCCGATTCGCAGATGCACCAGAGAAGCACAAGTGATGAATATCTGCGAAGTTCTCCCAAACTGGACACATCGACTGCCCGAAAAAGAAGGATGGCGGATATCAAGACTTAGAATGGCTTAGTAGCAGATCTACTAGATCCTCATCGTATACAGCTTTGTAGACTATAAATGCAATTGTTCAGCCAAGTTTGACACTCTAAATCCTCATCATGTATAGAACATATTGGCTACAAACATCCATCTCAGCCGAGTTTAGCACCCTAATTCTTCATCATATCGAACTCACAAGCGGGAGTTCCATAGAACCACCGACCCTGCAGCTAAGAGCTCTTGACCGGTACCAAGTTCATCGATGGCAACCTCTCTCTCCGTCTACCAAGCTTGGCCACGCGAGAAGCACCACCAAACATGATACAATAACCTGAACTAACATGATACATCATAATCATGATATAACCCTAAACATCCCGAAACCTCCCACCACATCCTCGGAAGGTACGCTGATTCTTCTGGCACCCACCCTGACCACCGAACCGTTGAAGGTAAAAGTTGAAGCCCTAGGGTATATACATCTCATGGGGTGCATGATTTCTTTTGACAATCAAGAGTAGGGATCCACTACCCTTTGATGTTTCATGTTTGGGGATGCCGGCGGTCGGGAGGAACAACCGCATCACTCATTCCATTACCCAAAACATGTTGACCTAGCTCAGGTGAAAGCTTGACAGTACACAAGGAGCGCCCTGCGTCCTTGCAGGACATTTGCTTGACTTTTTACATCCTGAATTGAACCGCGTTCCTCCCATGATCCCCAAACATTCAAGCTACTTCAACAATCTTCAACATACCTTTCAACTAGACTCACTAGACTATACAGCGCTTTCTCCTCTTTCACCACATGATGCTTTCACTGCCTGTTGGTAGTCGGAGATCTCCTATCTCAGGATCTTCGTTTTGTTCCCCGTGGCCGGTGCCACACGATCCACTCATGGAGTCATGGGCGACCGGTGCTGCGCTCGGAGAACGATCCAGCTCAGCAGCCATCGCTGGAAGCACAGCCCTCCAAGAGGAGTTCAATTTGCCTCGGGGTTGGAGCATCCGGGGGCCGGAGCCATCAGTTGGCTGTGGGGGAAAAGCCACCAGGTTGCCCAGCCACAACGATAGGTGGACCTCCCGAGTAGTCTATTGTTCATGGTCGGTGGGGAACAAGCTCCCCTGGTTTTGACCCATATGTCAGTTGGAGCGGGAAAAAAGGCAGCAACCCAAACGCGATCTTGGACCCTCATCTTGGAGGGGTCTGAGATCTCAAATCTTTTGAGTGACCAGTCGGGCTGTGAACGGAGCGTCTGGGAAGTTAGAAGATCCGGGCAGGATCTGGAGTCCGGCCAGGCAACCATACTCTCAGCTTCGATGGTCTTCGACCGCCCAGTCCCAGGCACCCACCCCTGTCCCATCTTCGAACAAACGGAGGGCGGCGGCCGAATGGAGCCCAAACGGGTCTGCTCCACCAGGACCTTTCAAGAAGCCAGGACCCTTTTAACCCATAGGGTCCAGGTACCTCCTTTTCGGATGGTCTTGGAGGTGAGTTCGTACTTGAGAATGGTCGTTGCCGGGGGGTCTGGCAGGACATCCGAGGAACGGATGGTCCTGGACCCTTAGGGTAAGAGACTTTGCTTCATGGCTTCCAGATCCCACCCGACAGACATGCACGAGACATGCCGAGACCCGAGACACGAGACACGAGACGACAGTAGCGCCCGCCTGCCGGGGCGCCTGCCGGGGCGCTGCTTCACTTCCGGACGAGACGGTCGAGATGGTTCTGCTCTGTTGACCGTTTTTTTTTTCCGGACTCACCAAGCTTTCAACAGGAGGAACGCGACTCACCGCAGGAGGAACGCGGGACTCACCGCACGAGACCACACGACGAAGGACAAATGACACGGTGGTCACGGATGGTCTGGGTGTATATAGAGCCCCTGCGCAAGCGACCTAAGAACTATATCCCAGACACTCCACTAGACACTCCATGTATGGATTATATACCTATCTTGTGGTTTTGGGGGGCATATATGCCCCATGTGTCGTGTCTGGGTGGGTGAAATTTTCAGTGTCCTCACCTCAGAAACCTCTGCGGCCCGTGGCCCCGCGTTGCCAGACTTCTCCCAGCGACTTGCAGGTTTCTGCTAGGGACGCCTCACCTGGCTCGGCGAGGCGACCCGATCGGAGTCTCCGAGGCCCCTGGTCGAAGCGAAAGACACTGACCTTCAGTTCGCGGTAGGATAGACCCCACCGATATACACAAGGTAAGAGCCAGTTCTGGTGCGGAGATTTTTGTATTCCAAGCACACCTATCCAACAGGTGAATATTCAGTTGCAAGACTGTGACAGGTCATGTCGGACTGTCTATAGGACAAACCCCGCCTATAACTGTCACCTATTACAGCAATGTCCTATATATACGTACAGTAATAGTCCTTGGTGATACCCCTAGGGTCGAGGTACATCCTTTTCGGGTGGTCTTGGAGGTGAGTTCGTACTTGAGAATGGTCGTTGCCGGGGGGTCTGGCAGGACATCCGAGGAACGGATGGTCCTGGTCCTGGACCCTGAGGGATAGGTAATAAGGACAAACCCCATCTATATACCTGCAGTCACAAAGGGGTGCTTAATGGAGAATTGGGGTGCCCATTATCCACTCACTTGGGGACTAAACACCACCCCTTTGTGACTCCTGGTGCACCAGTCTCCTTGTGACTCCGACTCTCGACTCGGTCAAGAAGCGTGCGTCCGCCTCGTCCGCTATGGATCCAAGGCCATCTGCCGCTCAAAAACTCGCCGTGGGAAAACGAACCAATCTCACCAACAGCTGTCAATGGTGGTGGTGACGCTTTATGCATCTGATGCTCCTTACATGAGGAATCGAATCAAGGTAATGGATGATCAGGGGATCACCAAACAAAAAAACATCCCAACGGAACCGATCGCCCCCCCTTCTGTGCTGGTGCCAGGACTGCCAGGACATAAGGCCAACGAAGTTGCGCTGAAACCAGGGTCTGAATAGGGAAACCTTCCATAACTCTTCCATAACTGTTATATATGTTTCAACAAGCCGTGCTTGCTGTTTTTGTGGTGGCAACTCAGGGAGAACGGCCAGTGGCATTTGCCTTGGCAAAAGTCAGGAAGGAGATGGATTACATGCTTTGTATAACAACTGCTTGGTATACCTTGGAATTTCACAGCTGCCTTTGGCCACCATCCAATCGTCCAACCCTGTAGGGCCTTTGGCCTCTTTGCGTTGTCGCAACTGTCTCGGGACGGCCGCGGTCGATGAGGCCAGTCGATGGTCCAAACGGGTACCGGTCTACCGGTCCCTCAACACTCAACCATTTGAGACCAAAAGAAAACCCCTCCAAATGAATGAAGCGCTAGGGCCCTAGGGCTCCAGTCATACCTTCGTTTCGGTTCGGTGGGACTGGAGTGGGTGCCAGGAGGGTCCAGTCATACGTTCTGAGGAGGCACGACTGGAGCCCTACGAAAGGGTGGCTTCAGAACCCTCCAGAGGATTCGGACATTGGGGGCCGCAAGGGTGGCGTACTGGGCACTGGATCCTGCTTAGCCACTGAAGCGTAGCCACCTCCGCACCTTTTTGATGCGCACGTCCGCAACGCGGCCAGGGGCGATGACGTGGGGGGGAGTGCATGTTTTCAAGTACTGGTTCGGCGGATTTCGGTCCAACAGGGTTCAAGAATTAGTTCAGTTGATGCCTGGGACCTGCCTCCTGCTTTGGCAACCATTCACTGGCCGCATCCTGCCAGGACATAAAAAAAAATGCATCTATTAGGCTCTTTCAAGCTACTCACCTCATTGCACTGGGGACGCCCATGTCCTGAAAGAGATACCACTCTGCCTACCCGAGTCACCTTCGTCCACCTGGCTGCTTCGACTTGCTGGTCCAGGATCCTGGAAAAAAACATACTGTTTTCCCCCAGAAGTGGATTTAACCATGGGGAACATAAGCAATCACCTGATCCGCAAAACCAGGGTTTTGAGTGGGGAGTGAACACTCAATGTTCACAACAACAAAAACACTTGGGTGACAAGGTGAACCACTCCTGGGTAGGTCATGTTATAGTCAGGCAGCTGATGTCGAGTATCACCCGGGATCTGCCACTGCACTGATGGGCTTTCCAACTTCTCCTGAGGCGGCTGAGCACTTGGCAATCTGACAAGTCCTGGAGACGGGATCTCTCAAACATACCAGGACCCTCCTGTCGGGGTGCCCTGTTTGGATGCCGAACGGCTGGTAGTGTGGGGTAGTCCAGCCAGGACACCCCGAGGGTCGGCGGGTCCAGGTATCATTCATATCCAGCTTCTTCAGTACGTGACCGAACTTGAAGGTTCCTTTTGGTGACCCTAGCAGGAGGCTTAAGTAACCGAACCAACCAGGTCATCAAAAGGTCACTTTGAAGAACCAGGATGCTTGGGATCTGACAAGTCCGGAAAAAGCCCCAATTCATTCATATGCTTGTTCAACAACCCCTAGGGATCCAGTCGTACCTTCTCAGGTACGGTGATGTGTTCGACACTGTTACGTAGGTGCCATTGTCGGGTCACCAATCCTGAAGAGGTCACTGGGAAGGTGCTGGTATATAAAAGTTCAATTTTTCCTTATACTGTAATTCTTCCTGAGAACACACTCCGACTCAACTCTGGGAACCCCCCCTTCTTCTACGGAAAAATCATGAAAAATCCCTCCCATCCGGACGCATTCCATTCACTTCATTTCCAGGTGTTCCATTCACTCACAAACGAAGTGGAAGAATAACAACATTCTGCCTTGTAACAGAAACGCTCCTGATGTCCCACACTGATCACTCCGGTCCCGGGACCTCCAGCGGCCGAGGAGCACGGCTCAAAGCCGAGGCGTCGATCTCGTAGCGGTCCTCGAAGTTGGGGCACCTCCGCACGGAGAGGCGAAGCAGGGAGAGGATGGCCCGAGCATCCGAAAGGAAAGGATATAAGGCGGGTGAGATAAAGACATGAACAGCGATGCCATTTCTGGGTCAGCTCATTCTAACTAGCTTCCATGAAACATTCAGCAAACCCTGGAAGAAGCCATGGAAAGTGCAACATCATTGAGAACAAAGGCCGATATCAATGGTTTCTATGGGCATGAGCCGGTTTTGCAATCGGAGTGGTAGTGGGGAACTCTCCGCCCCAGGGGGTGGAGGGCAAATGGCCAAGGTGCGTAACCCTGTGCCCAGGTGCCTTGAAGTATGTGGTCACATCAGATTTGTTGGGGTTGGCAGTTGTAAGGTTATTTTATGGATTTATTGGGTTCGCTGAAGCAGGATTTATGTTCCATCATGTTCCATCTTGCAGACTTCTTGTTGAGTCTGTCTGAAAGGAAGAACAAGTCCTGACAGTCCTGTTGCCTCGTGAGAGTGTCTCCGATCGGAGCGCTAGCTGGATCCATCAGTGAGCGCTCGGATGTAACTCATGGATCGATGAGTTTCCAGGGTGGAGATAGGCCTAGAACCTTCCAGAAAATTCTGGAGGTAGGCACTGGGAGGCATTGCGGCATCGGCATATACAAGCCAGTCACCCCATAATTACCGTTTCCGGCAACTCGGTTTTATCATGTGAACGTTTGTGCTTTCTCCCTGAGCGTGGGCAACAATAGCATCTTCTGAGTCTATACATGCCTATACCAGGAGGATAAGCCTCCGGGTTCCAAAAGACCAATCCATGGGAACTGAAGATCGTGCATGTAGTTGAACAACCCAAGGCATGAACATCCAGCTGCAAGTCACTGGAGATACCACAAGAACCGGCTCGCGGTGTCTGCTTTGGCCGCATCTGGTGTACCTTGGCATCGAAGGAGTCATCATTGGATCCACACACACACACATATATATATATAATATATGTATCGTTCTTCAACACCAAAGTTTGTGATTAACTTGGTTCAACTACGATCTCATGTCAAACATCCGAACCAAACGCTCCATTCTTCTCCCTGTCCAACGCTTCACACCAGAAAAGCGAGCCGAACCAAACCACTATTCCCAATGCAATCACCAACTAGCTTGGATTTTCGTGGGGCCGATCAGTGTTGCTTGTAGGATATCGATCTTCTGCTGAGGGTTTAAGCAAACAACGGACTTTAGTACACCAATTCCCTCATGAACCAATGAACTGTATACGGATCTACGCCCTGGAAGACTAACATGGACCCTGAAAACCACTGGTTGGCTGGTTAGTAGAGGAAAACACTCTTCCAGGGGGCCATTTTCAGGGTCTATGTCAGTTTTCGGGAGTGTAAGAGTACCAAAGGGATCCAAAGGGAGAAGATCGTTCTCTCTCCTGCGTTCCGTCCCCATGTCACTCCTCCATCTCGCCCGTCCCGGTGGCCCTTTCCGACCCCCTCTGAAGCTGAACAAGATGCTCCCAATCTGTTCTTAGCTCAGAACGTTTCCCAACCTATTCTTAGTTCAGAAATTGACAACAACCTGTTCTAAGCTCAGTTCAGTAGGGTGCCCCCCCAATATTCCCCCCCAACGTTCACCTGTTGATCATAGGCTATAGTGGCCAATGCCCACGGCGGGCGCAAGTCGCCCCACACCGTCGCTAGACCGAGCGAGGGACGGCTCAAGGCACCCGCAAACGTGTGGGGCACTCCGAAGATGGGAACGTTCAACAAGGCCTCAGATCCGCTGAACCCAGTCGATTCTAGGCCGTGAGGTGCCCCGGGAGGCCGTGAGGTGCCGAGGCCGTGAGGCGGGGAGGCCGTGAGGCGTTGGTTCGGAGAGCTTGGGTTGGGGAGCGAGAATGGGGAAAGAAGTGGATGTTCATGGTCATAGGATGATCATGTAAGGATTCGATCATTCTGAGCTCCCGGCCTACCTCCGTTTCGAAGCTGGTTGGGGTGGGTGCCAGGGGGGTCTCTTGCAAAGCAAGGTCAGGAGTCCTTGAGCTGGTCGTTGATGAGGGCCCAATGTCTGAATTCACGGAAGGAACTGTTCTCGAATGAGATATAAATGAACCGTGCTTGCTGTTGTCTACTCTCCCCGCTTTGTTGTTATTTAGACTTGGCCAGCAATAAGCACAATACGAGTTACTAAGTCAAAGATCTTCGATTCGACTCCCTGGGTGGTCGGCTGCGTAATGTAATCCAGGGAGTCAAGGACTCTCCGCGAGTTCAATGTGGAACAGTTTGCTTCATCACATCAAGAGGATTCTTCGGAACCAAAAGATGTAGAACCACCAAAAGTGTTGGATTGCCCTGGATTGCCCTTCTCCCTGAACCTTTTTCTTGCTTTGCTACTGTTGCAATCATCTATATGTCATTTGACACCTGCTGACTCCTTTTTGAAGGCTGACTCAGTGATGACCTCACAATGCCGCACGTGGTCGCAATCCACCCGCACAACACACGAAACCCCACCCAACCATCTACCCTCAGCCCTCTTCATTGATCCGTAAGTGGCCCGATATTGCATGGCTGGCAGTCGCTCAATGCTCCAGCTAATCTTGGGGTCGCAGGGCGCATAGCTACGGCAAAAAACCTGCAAAGCCGCCAGTGCCTGGCGGTGTGCCACGGTGTGCGGCTCTGGGATCAGAGCGAGACTGGTCAAACAGGATGGATGGTGAAAGTGTTGAAACAAAACGGAAAAGAACATGGTTGGAACACTTTCACCATGGTTGAAAGAATATATGGTTGGAACAATATGGTTGAAAGTGTTGAAAGAACATGGTTGGACGGCGTGTCTGGGACGACTTCTTCGGACCACATCGGTACCCGCGTGCTTCTCGCTTTGACCAGCACCTCAATGGCTGCTCATACTTTGTCTGGCACAAGGTGGGAATGAGTAAGGTATCTTAACAGTCCATGCCTTGCGTTGTTCTATACAAGTCAAGGGCTCTTCAATGGCGAAGCTGTTTGAAGCAAATTTTGTGATGGTTACGTTTACCTTTCCGGATCAACTTCAGATCCTCCCGACGTAACCATTCCGTTTCTAGTGCTGCGTGATTGCCCAATTCTGGTGTGAAGTTCACCATCATTTTTGTTCACGCGTCTGCGTAAATTCATCACAAACAACTGCCTGGCCCATGCTGCGGCACGCCTCCACCCTTTTCAAGAAAAGCTCCCACTGTCACAGTTGAACATCTGGGTTTTGCTAAGGAGCTGGAAAAACGCAGAAGAGATCTTCCCCGAGCAGGGAATAAACACAGTTCGGGAAATTCAAAAAACCACCTGATGCACAAAACCAGGGTATCCTTATGGATGCTCTTACCAGCTCAACTGGCTAAAACATGGCCCAGCACTTGATCCTACAGGATCAAACATCTCCACTTCCCAGACACTCCATACATGGGACTGCCATACGACTCCCGCCCCAGAAAGACACCCAGTCAACCACCCCAATGGAGGCATATATGGCAGTCACTATGGCAGTCCCATGGAGTTGCATACACTTGGCATTTCGTCCAACACATCTGGATGTATCTTCCCATTGGTAAGACACAGGGCATCTCTTCGACAAACTGAGAAAGCTGAAAAAGGATACACAAAGGACACACGATATTATATACCAGCACCTTCCAACAGGTTGTTTGGAGACCTTAACAGGTGGTTTCTGGGCACCTGTTGTCACCAGGAAGCACCTGTTGGAGGGTGCTGGTATTTATACCTCTATATGCATAAAAACAGGCTCAGAACTTCCAATGACTCGTTTTACCCCACCTGGAGGTCAAAAATCCATGACTATGCATATGAGTCATTTGGACTCTCAGGGGCACTGAAACACTTCCACGCGCGACGTGGGCGCGCTCGATTGCCGGGCCTCGGTGGGCACATCAGTCAGCTCAGGTGGTGCTAGATGGTTGCCCCACCTAAGAAACTTCATCGCTGAACTGCGGAATCACCCCGCTGGGAAGCAATGAGCTGATGGGAGCTGCAGCAGGTGGTTTTTTCCCCAGGGTTTTCGGCCGTTCAAATCGATCACAAAAAGAGGCTGAAGAGTCGAATTCGCTTCTTCATTGCACCGGTCATGAGGGTAATCGGTTGACTTGGAAGACTGATCTGGAAGAGGAGGATTTGGGAGAATGGCTAAGGATCTTCCGTCCGGATCCGTGCGGGACATTTGACAGAGTCCCATGGGGGTCTTTTTCGCGCCCTCGAAGTCAACCAGCTGCTTGGGCGGTCTTTGGGCGGCCAGGTCTCACAGCTGCTGGCAGGCGGCATCGAAAACGGGGGATATTTGGTCTTGTCTCTGAAATAAACCCTTCGCCCCAAAAGGTCATCAATTGCTAGGAGTGAACAGTAATCACATGCAGACCAGGTGACCAGGTGAAAGCACCAGACAGAACATGTCTACATTGAACGGCTCATGTTGGAGTCACTGCACGCTGAGGACTTGTTTTTTCACTGCATCGCCTTCACACCCGGAGAGTGGCAGCTGTGTGTTCCTTTGGGCTCCTGTCCCATGTCAGGTTCGATGGTAAGACCGACCCCCGTAAGGCACCCTGGGCGCCCAGTCCCATCAAACCGAAACGGAGGTGGGCCAGGAGCCCTAGGGAATAGTAAAACCATCAGTTCACTCAACCAGCCTGGTGGGCAAACCCATGACAAGGTGAAGCTACAAACCATACAGACCTGCTGTACCAATCAAACACCAGAAATTCAGCTTCCAATGAGGCAAATAGTGCCGCTCCAACGTTGGAAACGTGCCAAAATGGTTAAGCATGACACATGATAAAAGAACATGCTTCCGCACGAGGAAGCCACCGCGCCCTCTTGGAGGATAGCATCCATCCCATGAGTGGAATGGACACAGGACTCACCTTTCGGTTTAAGCCAGTGTTTCGGGTGCAATCTAGGCTACTCAGCAAGGACTCAATCGTCGAATCAAGGCCATGGCTCGGCACATCTGGTTTCAGCTTCTCTTCTCAACCAGATCACTCCCAGCACGGCAGGAAAAAGAATTCCCGGCTTTCACGGCATGTTCTCTAAACTGGATCATATTGAAGGAGACAACATTTGGGGCCAGTGAAGCAATTGAGGCAAGCTGGGCTTTGCTTAAGGAAGAAAGACAAGCATCTTCCCCAGTTGCGGGGATTCACGCGGCTCCTGACCAAAAAAATCATGACCTGGAAAACCGCCTATGGCAGCCAGGCCAAGTGGCTCACCCACAAAGAAGCCCAGTGAGCCAGCAGCAGCATCTTGTTGTGCCAACTTCTTTCGAGGATGCCACCCACCAACCACCTGCAGCGACGCCGGTGACCCCCACCGCCCCGAACGCCACTGTTACAAAGGTTCGATCCGAGTGAACCGAAGGTTCCAGGGTTTTGAGTGGGGTTTCCTCAAATCTCCGCCCCAAGGTGTGGCTTTCCCTGCAAGGTGATCCACTTTTCACTCCGTTTGCTTGATCGTGAGCTCGCCGGAGGCCTTGTGCAGATTCCCAGACCACTCGCCTTCCCCCCAGAGACGGCTTGTCCAAGTCCCCCCAAACGCCGCCCCTAAGGCGCCCCACGTGGTGTGGAATGCCGTCCAACACGAAGCCCACACGCGCACGGAACAAACCTCAGAGTGGAAGGTGGAAGAACCGGCTTCAAGCTGACTCCCGAAGCTCCGTGGACACTCCTTGTCCGTTTTTTCCTACCTGTTTGGTGGGAACACCATTGAATATCCATCCTACAAAAAACAAAAGGTTTTTGCATCTTATCAGCCTGGGTAGAGCAGGTTGCGTGGTGGATCAATCCGCCGGCGTGGGTCATTCGGTCCGACGGCGGATGCTGGAACACTCTGAAAGCCACCGGCTTCATCCACCGGTGGCCGGGCCGCTAGAGACCGATGGATGAGAACATCCTAAGATAAGGAGAACTGGTGGCTTGTATGGTATGTTTATGAATGCAATTTATAGTCGCAAGATTTCAGAAGGCTTTATCCAACCGTGTTACTAAAAACCTAGTTTGTAAGGCGCCGTATGATGGTCTCACCTGTCTGAATCCCTTCACCGTCTTTTTGGGTGGGTGAGCTATTTTGCAGGGCTCTCACATCCTAAGAAAGTGGGCGCCGGGCGACTGGGGGGGTCAAATTCCTACATCTTGCAGAACTGCTGGGGTCACAGGTGATCGCAGTAGATCGAGCATGGGCTTCAGCATCAAAGCTGTTATTGTGATTCATTCCATTCATTCCATGGTTTGATGCTTGTCCCGGAGTCCCGGCTCTATATCTATGCTCTCATCAGACACAAAACTCCACCAAAACTGTCCCAATCCCGACACCTCCAGGACCAAAACGAAGGTACGACCGGAGGTTTAGGTTTTCAAAGGCTTCAGCCCGCCCTTCGGACACCCCGGGATCTCACCGTGCAATCCTCAACCCAGCCACGCTTGGATCCCGTTGAGGATGCGTCGAAGCTCCACTGCAGCGTGGCGCGGTGCTGGGGCTGACGGAAGCCTCGGGTTCGACGACCCGGCGGAGCTGGGGCGAAGACGCAGGTTTAGGTTCTAACACTGACAGTCTACCAAAACCCAGACGCGACCATGGGACTGCC